TTGAAACAATAGAAATTGTCTTGTTCCCAGTTGTTCCTCTATGGCTCTGTTAGTTATGCTAAAGTATAGTGGGTGATTCTTGTATATGTAAATGAATGAATGTTGACGGTTCTAAATTAAGCATTTAGAAAGAAATTAAAATGCAAGACAAGAAAAGTTTTAGGGGTGTGTGTGTGTGTATATGTGTGTGTGTGTGTGTGTGTGTGTGTAAGTACATATATATTTCTTTTTACTAAAAATATAGTAATATCTCTGTTAATAAAAACTCTTTTCTCTTATGACCTTTTATGTTCTGAAGTTTGAGACCTATATAAAATAATACAGGAGTAATTGTAAAATTTCAGAATTTAAAAGCCTTTCCTGGTCTTCTCTGATCTTCTCTTCTCAGAAGGACAGCCTGCAATTTTCTTTGCTGTTGCTCAGGTAGCCCTACCCCCAGACCTTGGCTTTATAACCAAGAGTTCAGTCCTGAGTCCAGGGTCACCACTAAAGCTTGATTCTTAGAGATAGACAGGTCTCAGAGCCACCACCACCAAGGCATCCCTGAAGAAACTTGAATACCCCACCCAAATTTCTGAACACAATTTAAAAGTAATTTTGCTCCTTAAAATGTGTTTTATCATCTCTCATTGGGTATAGTGTGTGTGTGTGTGTGTGTGTGTGTGTGTAGATGCTATAAATATATCAGGAATGATTAGGAGATGAGACTCTCAGCATTAAAGGTATACATTTTAGATCAGTGTTTCAATATTATTGTACATATACAGCAATATATAGAAAACAAATGCTAACTTTAATTATGCATGAACTGAGAATTTGCTTCAGAATGTCTGTCACTTCTATTGCTCCATGTAGGTTTGACTCAGAACTTGAACTCAATTTTAACAAATTTCAATCCACTCCTCTTTTTTCACCTCTCTCTTCATTTCAGGAATTTTTATTGTGACTATATCAATCCCCGTAAAGCTAGAGCAACAAAGATTCCTTTTATATTTTCTCATGGCTTTTATTCTGTTTTAAAATGTGTTTATCTTTATTCTATAAGAGTTTTAAAAAAGGAAATATTAAACTAAAATTTGCAAAGGACATGAAACAAATACAGAACTCTAAACTTACTCCATCGAGCTACAGCCTGTTCTTTAGGGTCACACATTCAGTGATCTTTCCTAACTGCCATTATATTGTTGAATGAACATTTCTTTGAGGCTCAAAAATCTCTGAAACCTGAGTTACATTATATATTTCTCTCAAGAACTCCATGAAGACATTAATATTATTACCCACTTTGGAGAGATGAGGAAACTCAAGTTAGATATCTTCCTTCCCTGTCCCAGGTTCTGTGGGCATGAAGAGGTGGTGTTGGGATTAGACCCAGCGAGTCTGGCTGCAGACAGTCATTGAACACCCTGCACCCCCGGTGGGGAGGGGTACCTTCAATATTTAAACTAAGAACATCAGGCTTTTTTTTTATTTACTGCCCTTGATACACACATACATACACATGCAACCACCCCCCCACACACACATACACATGCAACCACCCCCCACACACACATACACATGCAACCACCCCCCCACACACACATACACATGCAACCACCCCCCCCCACACACAACTGAATAATTTTCTGAAAAGATTTATAATAGAAACTCTTGCTCAAGCTTAGTTTTTGGAAAGTTATTCAGCACATTTGTGTTAGAGTTCCTCCTGGAGTTTTAGCTTCTGTTATTTACTAAGAACATTAAGATGATCTTCAAATACACTGCTGGGCTTGGGAGAAAAGCCAGTTTAAATGTCTATTAACAATAATCCTGCATATAGTTAGTTAACACTGTCCCCCCATAACTGTATAAGAATATTTTCTTCTTATGTATTGAACTGATGAGAGAATACTATACTAGATATCTATTACCTTCAAAAATCAAGATAATGGAATGGCTAAAAAAAAAAACCAAAAAACCTCACACAAATATTTATTTTTAAAAGTATTTGTATTTGATCTTTTTCTAAATAATTAAACAATAAAGAATTAATTTTTCAAAGGGATAATTAACCTTTCAGTTCAGGATTTTAAAAAATTAAAGAATTCTATATATCCCATTATGAATTTATGCTAATGAATAACAGGAGAGATTGAGAAAAAACATATTTTAAGAGATTATAATAGAAGACAAGCATTCTGCTATTATTTTGGTTCCATGTACATAATGTCAGCTAAAAGATAAATAAATAAATTATCAAAACAAAATATAAGATTTTTCAGTTTTAGAAATGATATCTAAATATAATCTAAGAACAAAATATTTTGGTTATTATTTCATGTTTTTCTAAAATGCATTCTTTCTTTTTAAATCCTCACCTAAGGATATTTTTCTAATTATCTTAAGATAGAGTGGGAGGTTGAGAGAGGGAGAGAAAGGGAGAGAGAGAGAAACATTGATGTGAGAGGGACACATCAACGGGTTGCCTCCTGCATGACCCCGACCAGGGCCGGGGATGAACCGCAACCGAGGTCCGTGTCCTTGACCAGAATCTAACTCACAACTCATTGTCCCACGGGCTGACACTCTATCACTGAGCCAAACTGGCCAGGGCTAAAATGCACTCTTTAAAAAAATGTTCTTAGAGCATCTAAAAGCCATGGTGTTCCAGAGTCATAATGATACTAAACATTTCATCACAGTTGTGCAGGCTTCTCTTCTATTTTCTCTGCAAATGTGCTTAGAAACTACTAGAACTATTAGTGTATAATTACAATGATCCACTAATCTTTTGTTCTTACAGATAGCATCTGTAACTGGTTACTATATGAATGCATGGCCACAAAAAGATTTCTTTTTTATATTTTTGAATTTGCTATTTAAGGTATAGAGAATAATGCTAAGTAATTTTGTATATAATGTCTACTTTAGTAGTTTATTAATCTGATACCTAAGTAATTAATCTGTAATTGTTGTGAGTCATACTCCTGCCTCTTTTAAGAAGTTAACAGTAAGGGCAAACTCATGATAACTGAAGGGGAGATGTTAGGAGGAGTTCAATAAACAGAAGAAAGGTTGAGTTAAACATCTGTGACATCCTTTCTTTGTCGTCAGGTCCTCAGTGGGGTCTGCAGAGAAGAGGTGTAGAGACATGGTTTCCCTGCCTTCTAATCTGATCAAAAAGATATGTGATGGCTCAGTCCCCCAACCCCCTAGTCTGTGGGAGAGATTTCTAAAATAAATTGAGATTTGAGATGAATTTAAGTGACCATGAGCAGAAAATTATTTGACCCAAGAAGATAGATCTCATTGATTCAGCTCTAATTTTTGCCACAAACTTTGACCAAAAAAAAATTGCAGGTGTCTTGATCTGAAAGGGAAACATTTCCCGAAAGAGGGTTGAGGGAAATAGGCAAATACAGCTTGCATTCAAGCAGAACATTTTATTTTCTCTATCACTTCAGTTGCTGTTCCTTATCTCCAGCGACTGCCAGCCATGATCATTTGGGATGTTACAATGGATCTATTCTACTCAGTCCTCTTGAGGGGATAGGCCATTATACCAGCCGCGTGGGACTTCCCACAACAGATTTTCCTTCTAGTGTTAATTTGTTTTTTCTGGAGCAATATGCAGAGGCACTAATCATGATGGTTCATTGTGGATGTTCACATGGTACTTATTTTAACCTCTGCAGCAGCTGCAAAATTGGAAAATACATGCATTTTAAAGCAATTAAATTTTTTTAAATCATATAAAAGGCATAACATACAAGTAATGTGTGTGAGTGATAGAAGGGTTTATCATAGAAAATAAATACATTAAAATTAGTTACAAGACAGAAATTGTGATTTTACAAACTACATGCCCTGAAAATTTTCTAACACTATTATAAGGACTTCTTAAAGACATGTCAGTGAAATCAAGGAGATTAGAGTCATTTTAAGGTCAAGCAAATGAGGATGAGACAGATTCTGATTCTCTGACTAAATATAAAACAAAAACCACTTTACTATGCAGATATCTCTATTGCTATGTAATATCTTTATCGGTGCATATTTATTAATAAAGTCTGTTAATCTAAACAAATATCATGTTTTTCTGAACCATAATTATATAACATGAACTAGAGACATAATAGGTACCCCTCTCCTCTCAACCAACTACCACCTATATGGATCGATGGGGTACAATTAGAACCCAAGGATGAAACAACAATCTTTCAAATTTTAGCCTAAAAGTAGTATTTTGGGGACTAATTGAAGATAGTATTGACTGCCTTTGAAGGTAATGAGATTTCTCTAACAGGAATAGTCCAAGTTTTCATGAGCTTTGGAAAAACAATATGGAAACGAAGGAAACATCATAGCTGGTAGATTTAGATAAACTTAAAACTCCTGCAAATACCAGGGTTTATATTTTCTAACCAAGGTGCACTATATTACCATGGTACAAGACCTGTAACCCCTCTGTTTCACTTTGCCCCCAACTTCCATATATTTTTCTAGCCTGGCACTAAAAAATGCTTTTCGATAAGTAACAAATGAATACCATTAAATGTAATGCTCTTTAGTTTTGCAACTGTAGATTGTCACTCTGAAGAGTTTTATGTTATCAATTGAGTATAACATAATATTTAATTTAATCAATTCTTTAATTGAGCATTTACTTTTCTTTCATTGATTCACAATAATTTTATAATATGTATTATTATAGTGTTATTACAATATTGATTACAAGATAGGGTATTACAAACAACTTAGAAACATTGGTATTTGAATGGCTGGCATACTATATTAATATGCTTTGTATTTACACTTTACTCTTATGTATTATTTTTTTGGTGGGAAGCAATGAAAAGTTTTAAATTGCCACAGATGTTCTAGTTCATACTTCAAGTCACATAAGTAAATATCAAAGAGTTAGTGATATATAGTTGATCCTTGAACAATGCGGGGGCATAGCTGAAAATCCATGCATAACTTTTTTTTCTTCTTTTTCTTTTTCTCTTTTTTTTCTAGGCTGTTTCCATACTTTCAGCACAGAGTCATCCACATGAAGAACAAGGCTGTCTCCTAAACTAGGGTTTATTATCAGCTCACCACTGGATTGTTCCAGCTAACAGAGAACAGGTCAGGTGCAGTGGTGGCTGGCTAAACGTATAACTTCTGACTTCCCAAAAATTTAACTACTAATAACCTCCTGTTGACTGGAAGACTTATGGAAACATAAACAGTCAATTAACACATATTTAATATATTATATGTATTATGTGCTATATTCTTACAATAAAGTAGATTAAAGAAAATAATAAGAGAAAATGCAATTATGTCATTTATTGAAAAAAATTTGAGTGTAAAAGGCTCATGCAGTTCAAACTTGTATTGTTCAAGGGTCAAATGTATGTGATATAAACATATAATGCGTTATATATATTATAATTTAATGCATATTATTATAAAAAAGTAAATATACCCAGCATGTTAAAAATTACAACACATTGCCCAGCTGGTGTGACCCAGTGGTTGAGCATTGACTCATGTATCAAGAGGTGACCAGTTCAATTTCCAATCAGGCCAACTGCCCAGGTTGTGGGCCAAATCCCCAGTGGGGAGCATGCAGGAGGAGGCCAATCGATGTTCTCTCTCATCGATATTTCTATCTTTCTCTCCCTCTTTCTTCCTCTCTCTCTAAAATCAATAAAGAAAGAAAGTTAAAAAAATTACAACCCATTAATGTATAGTTACAAAAAAAAGTTTGGGTGTTATTTTATCCTAAAGGATATTATAAGTTTGGTTCACCAAGACAAAATGCATAATACATTTCTGGGGGGAAAAAGTTATTTTCTGTCATATAATTGAATACATGAGTGCTAATTAGTTTTTTTAAATTAATTGATGGATCAATGAGAATGCTAGTTGTTTCAAATAAGTTATTTAGCCCTTTTAAATCTTGAAAATCAAAGTATACTATTTTAAAAAGTAATCAGAAGTAACTATAAATATGCAAGTACATTGGAATTTTTCTGCTGCATACAAAAAGGCCACAAGTTACCACAATTCTGTTTTGTAAGCTTTAGGTGAGGCTTCTGGGGAACATCAAGTTGTAAGTCATGGTGTCCTCATAGAAACAAAGAAAGTGGGTGTCATTGTTTGTTTGTTTTTTTTATGGAAGAGAGAAAAAGAAACAAGGCTCAAAAACTAATTAAACTTGCTATAACAGAAATGAAAGCATTTTGATGCAACTTATTAAAGGGAAAATGCTGTGAAATTAACAGTAATCAAAAGCTAATTAAGGCTGATACAATAGGAACAGTCAAAGAATACTTGATAACATTTATTGAACTGAAGAAACATGGCTGTCGATGAAAGAACACATGTGGAATAAAATTTAAGTAATTACAGAAAAAAAGCTTAAGTATAGAATGCAATGGGATATTATATACAAATAAAAAGAAATTTGAAATACGCAATTCCCAGTAGAATCTTGATTAAGTTCAGGAACATGTCTCTGTAAGAAATAAGGCATGGTAAGGAATAATGCTATCTTTTATTGCCTGTCTTTCACCACCATAATTACTTGTAACTCTCAAATGGTATTGATAAAATTGTTCTTTTTTATTACATAAACTATTTCAGAAGATCTATGAAAAGTATGTAGTTACTTATACTTACTTAATCTACAAGATAACTAAAATTCAGGATTTTCCTAAATGTGTAATGCAAGAAAATAGGATTTGATGTTTCCCTTCTGATTGTTAAATAAGTGACCCTGACCTCCACATTTGTGATTGAGATATAATTGCCTTTATTCTTTCAGACTCATTCGCTTCACCCTGTTAATGTCAATTAATTAGAAAACTGGATTTTGTACATGATATTAAGTACCCTAAATGCAGTGTGCATTTATTGAGCTCCGTAGCATAGGTGACAGAATGACTAGTGTAAAGAAATAGTCCCAAGGATAAATCAGAAAAAGGGCAAAGGATAACTAATAACCACATGTTTTTATTGTTTATTACTTATTATTAGCTCTCTTTTCCTAAGACCTAAGTGTAGAGGAGAAAAATAGATAGCCCATTAGAATAAATATTATAAATATTACAAAGGGGACAGGGTATATAAAAATAGTAATTTCCATATAATGCAGAATAGTCATCTTTAACTAAATGGAGAGGAAATAGTCTATTTCAATAACTAAAAAAAAAAAAAAAAAGATTGATTCAGCCACTCAGCCAGTAAATAAACAAACAAACAAATAAATAAATAAAAGAAATAAAATGAGATTTTTAAAAATCCCGGGCACTAGGGTACACAATGAGTTATAGTCACCAGGTGAGTAGCAAGCTAATTAGGATATTATAAATTCTTTTTTGGTACGTGCCCCTAGCGGGAACTAAACCCAGGACTCTCTGGTCCACAGGCCCATGCTCCAACCGCTCAGCAAACTGGCCAGGGAGGGTATTATAAATTCTGACGTTAAATTTGCTTCAAGAAAGTGTAGCCCTAGACCATGGTGCTTAAAGTCTCCTACACATATGTTCAAGCAAGGAGCTGGTACACTGTATGTTCTGTGGCCCATCTCAAGAGATTCTAATTCAGTAGGTCAGGGTAAATCCAAGGCATCTGAAATTTTAACAAGCAACCCCGATTGAATTTCCTGTAAGGGCCTTTCGATTACATTTTGAGCTGTGGGTTATAAATCCCTTAGAGACAATAACTGATTACTTTTGTACCATCCAAGTCACCCTCGTCACCTTCATAACCCCATCCCCATTCTATTATTGTAACTGGGAAAAAATAATTTCTTAAAATCTATGACTGCTGTATATACTGTACAAATATAAAAATATTGTACAGAGTCAATAAGAAGTAATTTAGTTAAATGCCTGGTGATTTTCCATCTTGGCTGCACATCAAACTCACTGGAGGGATCTTTGAAGTGCTACTAATGGAGCCAGGCTCCAAACCAATTGAATCAGAGAGAGTGTCAGGCGGTACGCCCTGTACATCTGTATTTTTAAAATCTCCCCCAGGTGATACTAAGGCAGAGCAGAAATTGAGGGTCACTGACAGTAGAAGGGTTCAAGCAATTTATCAACAATAATAAGTTTCTAATTAAAAATTAATATAGCCCTGGCAGGTTTGGCTCAGCAATTAGAGTATTGGCCTGTGGTCCTGAGAGACCCGGTTTCAGTTCCCGCTAAGGGCACGTACCTCGGTTGCGGTTTGTCCCCAGCCCTGGCTGGGTTGTGTGGGAGGCAACCACTCGATGTGTCCCTTTCATATCAGTGTTTCTCTCTCTCTCTCACTCCCACTCTATCTGAACAATGCAAAAATGTCCTTGGATGAGGATAAAAAAAAATAATAATATAAAATTTCTAGATAAACTTAATGGCATGTTTTTTGACATATTTTTTCCAATTTTTCTTCAATTGCTATTTTAAATGAGTAGGTTAATTGCTCCCTTCTCTAGAGATTTAGTTCCTCTTTGGAGCCTACTTGGCACTGCTGCTCTCACCCTGGTTGCCCTATTCTGTACTCAGACACTGTCTCTCAGGCTGTGTGGGGCTGCCCTTTTCCCGACAAAGGTTCAGCTCAGTGACCATGTCTGTCCCTTGTGAGCACTCACCCAACCCAGCCACAATTTGGCATCTGCAGTGCAGTATTTTAGTCGCTAAATACGATAGACTCATACCTCTTTCCTGGAACTCATTTCATAAGTCAAAAATGAAAAAGAAAACTCTCTTTGTTCTTAGAAGTCAAACGATATAAGCATTACAAGTTGTTGTGGAGCATTTATTTATTTTTTAATCTTTAATCAATGATACAAGAAAGAGAAAGCAAGTAGCATTCAAGTCTAAGATTGCAAGTAATTCTGAGATCCAACTTTATCCTGATCCTTCTTGCAGTTGAATTACTAGTATATACCTATTTTGTGAAATTGAAGCAACTTGGGTTTCCATCCCTTGTACACAAAGCAATCCTGGATATTAGAATCTCAGTCAAATGATTTTGCTATAATTTAGTATACCATGCTCACATTGCTCTCCTCTAAAGGTTTCCCGAAAGGAAATCATACATCATAACTGAATTCTGCTCTACCTTTCACCATTCCCTACTCTGTACCTCTCCCAGGGGCAGACAACACTTTCATTTGATCACTTGGCTTTCCAGAGGCAACATCTTGCTATTACTTACAATAGCTTCAAAATTTAAAAATAAAAACAAAGTACATATTATTAAGTTAAAGTTCTTTTTTCAGAATAATATACTACAGCCAGAGCACTTAAAATAAAAATGTTGTAGAAAAGGTTTGTTAAAATTATTTTTGAGTGCTTACTATGTGCTAGGAAACAGCCTGTATACTTTCAATTTTAAAAACTCTTTTAATCTTCACAACCATTACCAACTGGGTTGCACAGGGCCCTGCACTGCGAAGGGCGCCACACTTGCCTTAGGCTCTGCTGCCACTGATTTGGTTTTCATGCTCTGCTGTTGCAACAAGGATTGGTCATATGTTTGGGAAAAGGGGACACCCATTTTTATTTTCCCCTTAGAACCACAGAGAAATAGCTAGTCTTGACCCATGAGATACTTTTTATTTCTGTCACCTTTTAAAGATGCAGAAACTTCAAGTCCCTTCTTTAAATTACCGAAGCTATATTACACAGGGCAATGATAGTCCCTCATTGGCCATTTAGCTCCATTGACTAGTTCCTCGGCCACTGTTAAATAATGAGATAGCCACTTGAAATTCAAATAAACATATAGATAAGTAATGATAAAATATAGATGTCAAAAAAAAGACTTGAATCTTATCTAAATGACCAAACATTTTATCTGATTTATGATTGTTACGCATGTCAGTAACTACGCCCCGTGAACCGGTGTCCACCTACCTTATACCAGTAAGACACATCTTATCAGGGTTCTAGAGGAAGGGAACATATGAAAAATTACCTATTATGTAGATGACTTACTTCAATCTTTTATCACAATACGTCTGTTAAATAATTTCTTAACATTACTTAAGACAGTGCCAGCACATTTTGATTGAAAACGGTTACCTTCAAATTTCAGCCATTATGTGTTATGATAAAAATATACCCTAAGGTAATGTGCCTGCAGAATTGCAACAGAATAGGGCA